CCCCGTAGCATGGCTACGCATGATAGTCGCGACACGCGCGATAAAATTGGAAAAAGCGCGCGCTATTGGCTGTCTCAATCAGATCTAATAAATTAAAAAACATATTTTTATTGTAAGGGACATGCTATATACTTTAAACCACTGGGCATTCTTAAATTTTAATAATACCAATCGATAGAGCGGGCAACTTCCTAATCCAATGATATATGTAACTCATTTTCGACAAAATATCCCTTAATTAATTGATACTTCTGGTATCGATATTTATTCACAAATACATGTCCATATTATTAGTTTGCAGGCGGTAAAAGCCAGGAAGTTTAGGTAAGCGCACGATTATCCGATCACTGGTGATGACTCGTTTATTGAATTACGTATGTTTTCATTCATCATTTTCATTCATTTAGATGTCACTGTTAAGTTGTTAGTTATTGTTTCCAAGCTACATCGAGGAGTACGGCTTTATCATTATCATCAGCCAGATCCAGACTTCACCCACTGCTGGGTATAGGTCTCTCGCAGTTTGTACTATCCACCAAAATCTTGTGTCATCAATCACAACCAAACGACTCTCACCTTGGCGTGTTACAACACCAGAACGTTACGACATTGCCAAAGTACAAAAGCAAATCGCAATGTAAAACACATGGTATTTTAACACTCGTAATATGGTTGATACAGACAAGTGGAAGCAGAAATCCGTGAAGCAGAAGCGAAACTCCGAAGTGTGCGAGCGGAAGCAGAGGAATCGTTGCGTGAAGCAACGCAAGCGAAAGAAGCAGAGCGAAACGTGTCGCAACAGGTGCAAAAGCTCATGAAACTTAGGCACGATAAGGAAGAATTACAGCGCACGCTGGCTTCGCAGTTGGAACAGCTGCAGGCACCACATCATGCTGTGCTGGTTAGTATTTGCTTATGTCTTAACCGAGTTTTCCTGCGCTGGCCATTTGCAAAAACCACCCTTCATGTAATATAGTCACATCTGCAAAATTAGAACTATTCAAGAGAGAGGTTTTAAGATTTCTACGAATGAAATTGGTCGTTAACTTTTTTATGCTTAAATAAGAGAGTTAAAAAAATTATTATTAATTACCAAAAGTACGAAATCTAGATAATAAAATCAATAAATAATCAAATTAGGAGAAGCAAAGGTCATCAAAGCGTACCCCTCATGGAGCTTAAGTGAAGTTACGTCAAACATGTTTATGTAACCCACGTCTTCTCCAATTCTTGTAACTCTAGAATATTAGTCAATAGAATTACAAGAATTTGTGAGGACGTGGGTTATATTTTTTTCTAACTAATGGAGCAATAAATGTTTTTGACGTAATTCTACTTATGCCATTCTTCCGTAAGACTGACAAAGTTAACAGTTTGAATAATAATGGGCGAGATACATTACGCTCAGAACAGGTGGCTTTAGGGCCAAAGCGTTGTCGACCGCGTACCGGAAAACGTGAGCGGACTACCCATAAGGTGGACGACCCTTTCTATTCAAAGCTCTGCTCAAAATCGTGGAAGATACGACGAATACGAAATTTGGTATAACTCCATACTTATTACAAATTTCAATGTGAAAAATCTTATTTGGACGAAAAAAGATGCAACTCCACACAATACCCACCTTGCAATCCTGTGGATTCTCACTATTAAGGATACTATTCAATTTGTATGAAGATCGATTATAATGCATGGGATCTAACGATTTTTTTATTGATTTATTTCAATGCGATTTTCAAGCGAAGCGAAATCGAATCGTCTAGATCAGAAAGCAATAAACTTTTTTAATAGTATTATAAAATTAGAACTTGGTTTACAACAAATATATTTAGTTGTAAATAGTTTTGTCCTCGATTTCGGGAACCCGGCCCATTTGCCAGGGATTTGCCCATCTCTGATTGTCACATTATTGTCTCAGTTGTTCCTACAGGTTTGTCATCAACAAATCATCACAATCAAGGACCATGGACTGGTTCGAAACATGGCGAGCAAAAATTCGACTTAAGTACATGAGTTATCTGTTAGTTTAGTTAATATATAAATTTCTTACCGAGGGCGCTATGGCAAAAAAAGTCGTTAAAAACTAAAAACTAGGGATAATGCGGGGCTATGAGAGTGTGCGTTATTAAGTAAGTTGCTAAAGCGCTTGTGTAATGGAAATAGAACCCGAAACAATATACAAAAGTTAGTTTTTCTACACTGACGCGGCCGGGGATCGAACCAGGGACTTCAGAGATGGCGACACCAGAAAACTGGTGTGCAAGCCACTCCACCACGGAGGCGGTTATTATATTATACTATGCCTTTAGTTTGCTGCAGTGATGATAATGATAAAATGGCTTCTTCCAACAGTTGGACGAGCTAAAACACTCCCAGGAGAAGATGCAAACATTGCAAGTTCAAGTGGAACAGTTCACGGCAAAGGAACGGCAGTACAGGACCAAGATGGACGAATTCGACACCAAGATTAGGAAAGTCAAGGGCAAACTGGCGGAAGCGACGTCCGCTTGTCGCAACTTGAGTGTAAGTTTAGTAATAGTAATACAACATGCATAGTGTACAGTAAGAAAATATCAAAGAATCAGAACATGTGACAGCTCTGGTACTTAATCATTGTTACTTTTTTATACAAAAACCGACCTCAAAAGTTCATGGAATTACATCTATTTGCCACGTTTTATTGAAGTCGGTTAGCGGAAAGTGCGCAAAATTGCATTCATCCATAACTTTCGCATTCCATAATGTGTAAAATAATAAATCGTCTCATCCGTAGAACAAAGACCTATCCTCAGAACTTTGTACATTTCGTTCGCTGTTCTTAGCTGTGGATATAAGATCGATCATTGATCGATTTTATATTTCCCAAACGAAATAATACATAAAATTCTAAAAACACCTATAGCTAGGCCTTATTTTGAATAACGAGATTATGTATTTATCCTCTTTTCGTTGTATAATCACATCGGACTCTGTTCTTCGGAAGAGTCGAAATCTCCATAGCAGCTGCCGTGTCACTCAGAGCTTCAAATTGTAAAGGTCACCCACAAACATAAGTTGATAAGTCTCTTGTAATTTCACCAGCCCCCTTACCCTTCAAAACATAATATAATAATAATAATATTAATAATAATAATGCACACACTCAACATAGCCCCGTACTAGGGAAACCCTGCGTCTCGGGTGCCATGGACACACACATAGACAACCACAAACTACACCCAAACTCACGAGAGAAATGTAGGCAATACAATTATTTTTCCCGGCCCGGGAATCGAACCTGGGACCTCTGCGTGGCAGTCCGGTATGGTAACCGTTCGGCCACTGAGGCAGTTAAACACAGTTAGAATAGAAGATTTTATATCGTTTATTTTAATAGGATAGTGTTATTCTATATTATAGTAGCAGGAAGAGACATAAAAAAGTAAGAAAGTTTATAAATCGTCGGCTTATTGCAAGAAGTCATTAATTCACTTACAAAATTATATGGCAATTCATGACTTCTTGCACTAAGCCGACGAAATAGAAAATTTCCTCGAGGGCCGTACACTGGGACATCGTGTCCAAAAGGCTGGCAACATTTCCCCTTTGAATTGCTAAAGTTAATCTTTCGCGGAAACTGCCAGTTTTGTGGTCACCGGAGGCTTCTACGCGGCCATCCGACAGCTCGTTCGCTAGAAGTTTCACCTGTGGCCCCCAGAGACCAAGGGTTTCAACCGCAAAAGGCACAAGGATGGAGCACTGATCAAGGTTGGCGTATTTGAAGCCTTTTGCGGTTCCCGGCCTCTCTGGTCACAGAAATAGCTAAGGTGGCAGTACTTCCCAGGACGAACTCTTTCACAAGGACCTCTACTGCTACAAAAATGGTTGTGCAGTAAGATAGTTCGGACGGCAGCTATGTAGTCAGTGACGTATAGTGAAACGGGAACAGCAGATTTGGTACTTTATATTATAAACTGCCTCCGTGGCCGAACGGTTACCATGCCGGACTGCCACGCAGAGGTCCCAGGTTCGATTCCCGGGCCGGGAGAAATATTTGTATGGCCTACATTTATTTCTCTCGTGAGTTTGGGTGTAATTTGTGTTGTCTATGTGTGTGTCCATGGCACCCGCGACACAGGGTTTCCCTAGTGCGGGGCTATGTTGAGTGTGAGCGTTATTATAAAGAAAAAAAAATAAAAAATTTATTTTCCTCCAGGAAGAAATAGAACAAGAGCAACTAAAACTAGATCACGGCACCTCGGAGCGTAGATCGTGTCAGCAGAAGCTCAACGAGGATAAACAGAAGATAGGCCAAGTGGAGGCAATTTTGAAACAGAAGTTTGACGTCATAAAGGAAAATATCGCCGACGCGGAGAGGCTGTGTCCTAGAATTGACAATCCAAGGTAAAACTGAAACTCACTTTCATTACCGAATTAAGTTTTTTGAGTATACGATTATATATGTATAAGAAACTCCACTATGTCATGGATTTTTTTTTAATGTTGATAAATAAGTGATGGGTCCAGTTGCAGTGCCATTCAGAGCTTTAACGCAAAGATCTGAGGTGCACTACCTCTGCGCCCATCACCCTGAGACAATAAGTTGAAAAGTCCCATGTGTCTGTAATTTCACCACCACCCTTCAAAACCGGAAGGCAGTAATGCTCACATTCCCGCTTGGCGGCAGAAATAGCTAAGTGGCAGTACTTTCCTGGACAAACCCGATTTGAACGGAATCAGATGTGAACAAGCGTGCGGAACTTCCGCAGTTGCGGAAGCAGAAGTCTGTTACATCCATCGAGTATATAACCAGAAACAGACGAAACGTCATTTATTTTTGTTTGAAAACTATTCTGCCAAATCATTACTGTGACAACAGCGCTCCGATTGGCCAGCCCGAATTTGGAACAATTGACAGGTGACGTGAATAGGTAGCGTCAATTGTTTCACTTCAAATCGACCAGTTAAATTGAGCTTCGCTGTAATGGACGAAAATTGCAAAATTACATATTTAATATTTAATTACCGATGAAATGTGATTCTGTTTGTTTTGTAATTAGATGTTTGCTGTTTTTCCCACACTACCGAATGGAACAGGCCCCATTGTTAGAGATATTATCTTTATTACAATAAATACAGAATATTTTTTAATATACGGAGATGTACAGTTACACACAGGTCAGTTGCTAGCGCTGTACTATATCAGTTTTCTA